GTTGACTTCATACAGCAAGTTGTATGTCCTGGTCCGGCGCGGCCAGAAGATCGAACCACCGGCCTTCCGCTCTCAGGACAGACGCTCTGTCAACTGGTATGGTTTGTCAGGTCACTCCATGTTAGAGGAATGATGACATTGATAGAAGAGCCCCTCAGTACGTGCATGCACTCCTCCACCACACGTGCATGCACTCCTCCACCACACGCGCATGCACTCCTCCACCGCACGTGCATGCACTCCTTCACCACATGTGCTTGTCACAGCTCTATGGAATTCCAGGATTAAACATGCGCATGCACTAAATGGATAGGTAGTGATCTTAAAATTGGTTGAAAGGTAGTGATCTGGTTGATAGCGTGTCTTCGTCTCCAAAAGGGTTGAACCGTTGCTCACGATATCAATCACTGGAGTTTTCATAAATATTTACAGGCTGTAGTTACACAGGTGTACTATGTGTAAACGTGATATGAAGAATATAACGAAGCATCTGAAGTAAAGTTCAAAGAAGTGCTCGTAAAATATGTCAGTATGCACACACGAGATATGCATATTTGTGTGCTGTGCGTTTTAAACTATTGAAATATGGATCAGCACACAGCGCACTGTTATTACTCATGTCACGCTCTCACGACAAAACTGAGTTTCGAGGGGCATTATTTCAGTTGTAGTGTCAAGGCTTGTCAGCGTCATGGAGGACAGTCCAAATCGTCAGTCGTAAGAACATGCAGCTTTCCATGTACAATAAATTCATGTACCTATGTCTTGTAGTGAGTGAGTGAGCATGGTTTTACACCGCTTTTAGCAATATTCCAGCAATATCACGGCGGGGGACATCAGAAATGGGCTTCACACATTATGATAAATAATAATAATAATGAAAATTTATATAGTGGGTGCTCAAAGTGTACCCATGTGGGGAATCGAACCCGGGTCTTCGGCGTGACGAGCCAACGCTTTAACCACAAGGCTATCCCACCGCCCCTTATGTGTTGTAAGAGCTACTTGAAACAGGATCGGGGTGTCATAACGGGTCACTTGACATTCTTGGACGTTACGGAAATGGGCGAGTTAGGGGCGAATGGATTCTTGTAAATATTTGTGTATCATGTCACCATTGAACATCTCTAAAATGCACTTTGCAAATACACTAAACGCCAAAAGAAACGTCACCCTCCTTCCTTAATGACGGGGGTACCTATCTTTAGCTGGCGTTGTGATACCTGGACGTCCACTTCTTGGTCTGTCTACGGGGACCCCAGTCTGTCTGAAGCCCTGGATACGTCTTATAACCGTGATACGATGGCATCCGAGGGCGTTGGCAACGGCATTGTATGTCGACCCCATCTGCATCATCCCAATGGCTCTTTCTCTCTCTTCAGCTGTTAATCATGGCATATTTCTCGTACTTATGTATCATATCATGTATTCTATGCTCTCTTCATACACTTTAAAAATCATTCTGCATGTGAAATGGATGCAAATACTGCTTGAATATTGCTGCGTTTTGGCGATTGATACTGCTATGTGTAAACAGAAAATGGAAAAATGTTACTTTGCAAGCAAAAATGTTAACCAAGATAAGTTAAGATGTTCCCAAACACGTTTTACTTGTTTTCACTAATGCAAATCAGCGGAAAATGTTTCAAAAGACTGAAATAATAGGAATGATTATTTGACAAGTTTACACACTCTACAACAGTTGTTTCTTGTTTTAATAGTTGAAAAATGGTGTATTAAATGGTTTATCTTTGTCTCCAACAAGATTTGTATTTCAACCTTTCTTTAGGACATTCGGCATGGACGAAAATAGGACAATTTAACTCTACTGAAAAAGATGCATTTCACCTAAATATGAATGCATTTGAGAAATATATTTCGTGATTTGCATAAAGCTGTGTTGTTCAGCTTTCTTGTAAACTAATACCTTCTAACATAACTTTGATAGTTTTTGAGTAATTCGTAAATGTAGGAGGGTAACGTTTCTTTTGGCGTTTAGTGTATAGGAAAGTCATTCTACCTTTATAGGTGTGATATTAAAGTATTACTGGTCATGTTATTTGACATTTAACATTTGTGTTTTATATCTTCTTGAAGCCAATACAAACGCAAAATATAACTGGCAAAAACTGGTTTCACGTCTGTTCACTGTGAAACAACCGATTAGAAGTTCTCACCCTTTAATTTGGAAGTCCCGAGTCTCAGACGATTACGTTTGAATCCGTCCAATATACTGAAAAGACACTTTCCCATAATGTTCTTCGCTCATCCGGAATTTGCAATTGTATCACCTGCATCAAGCAAGTCAACGACCCCTGACCTCCCGATCCCAACCGACTTCCTGTTCTTGGTTAAAAATCCAAGATTGTGAAAAGACCAAGCCAGTGTGCGAAATAGCCACAGGTCCGCTAGGCAGTGGCTAGTAAAAAATCAGTCGCACCAGTAAATCTCCACTGTCACTGGCCCAACCGGCTAGTAAATTTGCATGGGGTCATTTTGTAAATATGTCACTCTCTCCGACGTGTTAAGTTATAATACACTTTTAAATCATGGAAGATTATGACCTGATAAAAATGTTCATCATATTAATGATACAACCCGTGTCACGCCGACAATATTTTATTCTCATCTATTTTTATAATCTTTTGCTTAGTTTCTACATTCAAATTGAATTATTTTGTGGGCTAGTAACTTTCAGGCGTAGCTAGCCCGATTGGCTAGCAAAATTTGGAAACTATTTCGCACACTGGACCAAGCCTCAGGGTTGACAATGACGTCGATGCTCAGAAACATAATACATGTATTACATTTCACAGGGTACAACATCCTTCATAATGTTATTCGTGTTATTCACGTTACCTCTCTTCGACTGATTGTTAATTTCTATGCTTACATCCTCTGCAAAGACATGTTTAATCTACATTCGTTACGCCAACCATGCAGGCTACACATGATTTTAAACCGTGGTTTTTGCCATCGGTTGTTGCTAAACACTTGTTACGCAAACCAACAGGGCAAGATTACAGAATACCGGATACCTATCCGCCATTTTTATTTTGATTGCGCATTTATTTTTGTGCACTTCCGTTTTGTTTCCTTAGCAACGGCACGCCATGAAAGAAGGCTGTGTTGAAGCAGCGTTCAATATTAAATATTAAATATTAAACAATATTAAAGCTAAAAAAAGGTAAGATAATGGGGGTAAAGGGGGTACCCCCCTTTATTTAAAAGCCTTACCTACCTTACCTTACCAATCAAAAAACACTTACCTTTTCCCAGCATGCATTTGAATAAAATTTCAACACACGATTACATTTTACTCTGTTGACGTCAGTGAACGCTGTTAAAATCCCCAGTTTAGGTTTCCTAAACCGGAAGTAAGGTGAGGAATTCGATTTTAACCTTATTTTTTACCTTAAATTCGTATTTTTATTGGATCGCTCGCAGGCTCGCGCTCTCTGTTTCTTCTATATATAGGAGCCTCACGCGCACAATAGAATGTATATAATTAGGTATCCGGTATTCTGTAAGTTTACCACCAACAGTGGAACCAGTTTAACATATCACTCGCGGTATAAAAAAGATACTGTTGAGAGTTATCTCCCTTCCGTTAGTGCCGGTCGTTGCGAAGCTACCGATCTCAGCAAAACGACGCCATTGTTGTTGCTAGTAAATCTGCTGTACCTCGTCATTGTCAGTCTACACTTACCTTGGATTTTGAGCATCGCTTGAGTTTTTCAGCATAAAGTCAAGTAGTTGTGCTCAAGGTACCAATGTATCACCGTTTTATGATGATTTGTGTCAGTATGATGTTGTTTAATCGGGCGTGACAGGCCGACGTGAACTGTTAGCTTTCTGAACATGACAGAGTGAATAGAACCCTTATTTAAAAAGTTATTTTATAAGTAATAATCTTACGCTGATTAATTAGTTTCTCTTGTTCCTTATAATACATCAGATCTTAGTGGTTGTACTAAAACGGCTAATCCTCACATTTGTAATGTACATTCTCTCTGAACCAATGTAAGAGGTTCTTTTCTGCATCCCATCACTACGCTAATGCAAAATCACATATATAAGTAAATGTAGGCATAAGTACTTAAGGAGGCGGCTTGGTATTCTTGTTTCTAAAAACAAACGAAGGAGTTTAGAAAACTTAAGGCTGGATATGACTGATAGAGGAACTGTGGCTGTCTGTAAGGAGACACTTAGAACTGAGCTGCATGCAATGGGTTGGCAGAAAAGTCGAGGAATTCCATCACCAATCATGAAACCTGAACAAAAGGAGCGAAGGTTGAACTGGTGCTTACAGCATAGAAATTTTAACTGGGACAATGTGATTTTCTCAGATGAAAGTTCTGTGTGGCTGTTTCCTAATACACTGAAATTCTGGACCAAACAAACTGAAAAACCTTTGTATCAGCGCGGTACACAGATATTCTCGAGGGACATTTACTTCCATCTGCTCACGTGTTCTATGGAAATTTTTGGATTTTCCAGCAGGACCCAAAACATCGTTCAAAGCATTCCCAGGCCTGGTTTCGGACCCAAAATATGACATTATTAGATTGGCCAAGCTATAGCCCTGACCTAAATCCAATAGAAAATGTTTGGGGACTTATGAAGGAAAGTGTCAATAAGAAAATTCTGACAAATATTGCTGAAATGAAAGAAGAGGTGGTCCGATATTGGGACAGCATGGACCACGACTTTCTAACTTCTTTGATCAGTAGTATGCCCCGCCACATTGTAGCCTGCATTGCTGCCCATGGTGACTTGACAAAATACTAACTGTTCACCTGTCTTTGAATCTGGAGTTATGTTCTGCTAATATTCACATTTAATACGTGAGTAATGAGTGGGGAAAAAAAATTACAATCTTAAATTCTCAATAATTTCTGGTTGTACTGTATGTCTTCATGCCTACTTGTACATAATTATGACTTTCAGTGCATTCTCTATTTAATGTATTCTCATCACTTCTCTCCTACACAGAGACCATGTTTCACCAGTCGCCCACCCATGCTGCCACGCCTGTCCCACGTCGGGTAGGTTTGAGCGGGATCTAGAAACAGAAAACCTTTATAACCTTATGGGGCTGTGGGGTAGTCTAGTGGTTAAAGCGTTGGCTCGTCACGCCGAAGACCCGGGTTCGAATCCCCACATGGGTACAATGAGTGAAGCCCATTTCTGGTGTCCCCCGCCGTGATGTTGCTGGAATATTGCTAAAAGCGGCGTAAAACCAAACTCAGTCAGTCAGTCAGTATAACCTTATGTATTTGCCTGAGTCTAAGTGCCAAGCCACTCAGCGTTGATATTCATTAAAACTGTGCATGAAGAGAATACCAAATTTTCTCACATTGAAAGTTGCTTTAGTTCCAGTCCCCTGAAATAAAACAGTAATCTTCACATAGGGCATTGATTATCTCATATCAACGTGGAGTAGGTTTGATTTAAACATATTTATTTAAGAGAATAGATTGGGTACAAGTTATGCCAACTTAGTGAAACCCTCTCCTAAGTAGAGGTGTGGAGTAGGTGTGCTAGGGTCTTAGAAACAACCATAAGAGAATAGAACTATATTTGTAATTATCAAAGATCCAAGTAACTCAGTGTTGATACTCCATAACTCCCTGTATGAAAAGAATGCCACATTTACTGTCATTTTCTAAACTTGAAAGTCGCATTAGCTCCTGTCCCTCAAATTTAACATTGATTTTCACTCTACAATTCATTTTCTCATTTCAACCTCAGTATTGTTTTTACAGATTTTTTACTTATAGTCATTTGTCAGTGTTAAAGGGTTGGTTTTTCATAATACCAATATCCTGTATGACTATTCTTTCCCAACCCTGCATACAACCCGCCCTTCATATCACCCTTGTCTCATTATTTCTCTGTTCCCACTTCCCTCCCCACTAGCGTCCTTGTGTGTTCCACCCTGAGCCCCTGTCCAACCTTCCCACCTCCTACATCTCTGTCCCCGACCCAGTCCCCGCCTCTGTTTCTGTCAACATCACCGGCCAAGTTATTGTGGCTGACACTGACTTTGTGGAGATAGATCTGGGCAGTGAGGCAGACACACAACCCCTCCCACCCCAGTCCTTCCTGAGAGCCTTGCTGTCCCGTTTCATCCGTCTGGTGAAAAGAGTCTTCTCCTCCAACAAAAATGACCTTTAAAGTGTAAAATTCTGAGATGTCACCTTTCATTCTTGTTGGGACATTTTAGAAAACTAATGTAATCACCTGCTAGAATTTCCATTCGATTGTTTGTTTGTTTCTAAAGTAAATGTTGGTTTTGTTCGAAGTGTTGTTTGCTTCTTTACTCATTACTTAGGGATCAAACTCAAGCACAACCTAAAGTCTGATTTATGGGTTTACTGCCCCATCTGTAGATCTGCTTACGCCTGGCCAATAAATATCGTTTGCAATGTGTTTATTAGTTTGTTTGTGTGTGTGTAAAATATATATCAAGAATGGCAGCTGAATCTTTGGCAGTGCCAGGTTAAATACTGACATACTGAGACCAGTGAAGATCCAGGTTAGAATCGGTCTTCAACAACCCATGTTTGTCGTAAGAGACGACTAACGGGATCGGGTTGTCCGATCTGCTGACTTGGCTGACACATGTCATCGTATCCCAATTGCGTAGATCATGCTCATGCTCTTGATGACTGGGTTGTCTGGTCTAGGCTCCATTATTTAAAGACTGCCACCATACAGCTGAATTATTGCTGAGTGCGACGTTAAACAACAAACAACGCCATATATAAGACACAAAATATGTTATCTCCTTATTCACAAATATTGAAACTTTATCACAAAAAACACTTTTACATGGGAACGCAGGCGTGCCTCCCTTACCCATTCCAGGATCCCAGGATTATATATTTAGTCGAAATGTCGCCCTTACTACAATTCATTCTTTGTCAGAACTGAACGTATGTTTGTTGCTCTCACGAGGCGAACACCTATCACCTAGACACCTTTGAGACCTCGTTCACAAATAGCCCTGAAATAACTGACAAAATGTGGTATAACAAACAGAAACTATTCATTAAAGAAACATTGTCAGTGAAAACCCCGTTCATGCATACCTCCATAATGGCCGATGATGTTTACCCAGCAACAAGTCTTAATGAGAAACTCGCGCCTGTCGGTCTGAAAAAACTGTAACCAATATCGTAGAAAAATTATGAACGCTTGTTGCGTTTGTTTTTTACAGACATAACGTGTTTCGCGTTTCTTTGGGAAACAAGAGCTCTGCAAAGTGCATCTGAGAGATTTTAATTCGGCGTCAAACGACAAACAAACAAATACACCAGCAAATATCCACGAATACAACTTCCCTCTTTATTCAAATGTTTGGAATCAATAGATCTGAAATCCTTAAATGAGTACCTGGTAAAACGAACGGAAGTGTGTTAGAGTGTGTCGGCATCGTAACAGTCGTGGTACGTGTGATACTTGTAAGTGGTACATGACATTGTGTTTACCAACATTGTTTTCAGTGAGTGAGATTTAAGGCCACAGTAAGCTTATCAGGGGAGACCAATAGTAAGATTCACACCTGGCGGTTGTTGGAAAACAAACCATGTCTGTTTGTGACGAGTGAACATTTTACCAACCAGTCCAATCTACAGCCCATTTGTTTCAGATTTGTTTGTTTTAAATGTTTAAATGCCCCTGTAATTTAAAAAAAATAATCGTTTAATACTCAAAAACAAAGATCATCAGTTGTGTGTGTTTCCGTGTCGTAAATCTCGTAAAGCAGGGGGATGTGGGGTAGCTTAGTGGTTAAAGCGTTCGCTCGGCACGCCAAAGACCCAAGTTCGATTCCCCACATAGGTACAATGTGTGAAGCCCATTTCTTGTGTCCCCAACCGTGATATTTCTAAAGGCGGTGCAAAACCAAACTCACTCAGTCGTTAAGTAGGAATATACATTGTGTAACGAGAGCTCAGGGACTTAGTTGTTTCTTCATACATGAGGATATTTTTCTACCCCAAAATACAGTGTGTGTCTTGTAAATAACAGTATGAATGAGGATGTATCAGGAGAGTCTGAGACGAGAGGTCTCAGTTCAGTACGCCACAATTCTAGACATGAACTTCGGCACTTGTCTCCTTGACGCAATAGGCCACAAATAATATATACAATGTATATCCTTTGCTTTCGCCTATACTGAAGCGACTACGTGGGTATTTTCTATTATTTTTACAAGCTCGTTTGTATGAATAGTGACTCTGTCAGTACAACTTGGTGATATTAGAATTCTCTTTCAATAGCCAATCCTAAACGTTCAGTAGACCAAAAATGCTCAATGATCTCCCCTTTCTACACATACAACCTATACAAAGACAACATGCATGTTGTGTCTTTCCATTTTGTTTTTAAGTTTTGGTGTGAGCAGGTTTAATAGCAGACTATCGCACAGTCACTGAATATACATAATCTTGATAGAAACAATTCCTTCTGAAGGAGCCCCAGTGAAATGGGAGATTCAGGCGATCCCGAACCTAAGGAAATCTAGGTTCATTTAGGGCTTTAGCATTTAAGAAAGTGAGTTTAGTTTTACGCCGCTTTTAGCAATATTCCAACAATATCAACGGCGGGGGACACCAGAAATGGGTTTCGCACATTGTACCCATGCGCATGTAGGGAATCGAACCCGGGCCTTCAGCGTGACGAGCGAACGCTTTAACCACTGGGCTACCCCACCGCCATCGAAGAAAGAGTTGGGCGGAAGGGGAAATAATGTGGTTCAAGACTGTAAGACAGACTAGTTTAATAGTCTCCTCTTAAAACAGGCATGTGTTGCTGAGAATGGTTCTAACTGGGACCTAAGCTGGTTCTCGGCTCCCTTTGCGCTTAACTGGGACCTTCACGGTGGCTATCTTCGTATGATCAAGAAGTGCACGAACACTGAATTAACAGTCATCTGGGAGTATTTCCAGGATACATTCCATTCTGATGATAAGGCATCATGATACAGAAACTGACATTGTGATCAGTGGAAAGATTTTATAATATTTGTTTGTTCTTTCATGTCGCATTCAGCAATATTCCAGCTATATGGCGGCGGTCTGTAAATAATCGAGTCTGGACCAGACAATCCAGTGACCAACATCATTTTTTGTTTTGTTTGTTGTTTAAAGCCGCACTCAGCAATACCCCAGCTATGTGGCGGTGATCAACATCATGAGCATCGATCTACACAATTGGGATACGATGACATGTGTCAACCACGTCAGCGAGCCTGACCACCCGATCCCTCTATAGTCGCCTCGTACGACAAGCATGGATTGCTTAAGACCAATTCTAACCTGGATCCTCGCGGGTGATGGTAAAACACCGACTGTCGACTGCGTGAAGCCGACTCAGGGTTTCATGGAACGAAATATTTTATACTAAAACCTAATCAAACTGGGACATAAATAATTTACACATGGAATCCTGTGAGACGCAAAAATGAAGGCTGTTTGAATCATTAATTCTTGAAAAATTGTAGGTTGCATGCCATTTCTCTTAGTGTAAGAAATACACGCAAACCCCAGGGCCCACTTGCACAAAAAACGATCGTAGCTACAATCAATTGTAAGCATTTGCAATCGAAATTACAATCGCGATCGTAACTCTTACAACTCTTGCACAAAAGCGATTGTAGCACAGTTGTAACTCATCTCATTTTACAATTGCGATCGTAAGTTACAATCGTAATCTTCTGTGCTGAAGATAGGATTATCCATAGCAACATAGACAACAATTTAGAGTTACGTCCCTTGACTGCATAGGGCAGACGATCGCTTGATCATAACAATGTCGTCGCCTCCGAGTAAAAAAGTCAGAAAAAGTAATTATTCTGCGCAAGAAATCGAAATCCCTACTGAAGATGTAGGGAAACACAATTCCGTGTTATCTGCAGCTTTTTCAAGCAGTATTACACACAAAATCAAGAATGGAATATGGGAAAAAATCGCAGACAGGTGAGTTGTTCTTGGGGTCACAATGAAAATTCTTGTTTCTAATCGTTTTCGTACAAACTAAATACTAGTAGATGGGCAGATCGGGTTATAGTTTTATTTCTAACTCATCTACAAGTTTAATGGAGAAAAAAATTCATTATAGACCAATATTTACAAGTTGTAGTTTTTTAATGTGATGGTGATAATAGATATAAATCAATATGACCATAGGATACTAGTAGGCATATTCATCTTGATAAAGATGTAATGAATGATATTTTCAGGGTAAATGCTGCAAGTTCAGCCCATAGATCCGGTGCTGACATGAGGAAAAAATGGAATGAGCTGAAGTAAGTGTGGATCTTTATTTATTAAGCAAACCTGATAAACAGACAGGCTTAGTAAATGCAATATAGATATAGTTTTGCACTATCAACACAAAAAATGATAAAATTATCATGTGTCTGTGCCAGTGGGATATATGTAATGAATTGTAGCGAAATAGCCCATATTTTAATTGTCAATCAAACAATGGTTCTAATTTGAAATCTTAATTCTTGCAGATGTCAAACTAGAAAGAAGGCAATGTCTCAAAAAAGAGAGCTGGTGAAAACGGGTGGAGGACCTGCACCCCCGCCCATGTCACAAGTTGAAGAGAAGGTACTGTAAATTTTAAATTGGCTAATTATTGAATAGCCTATGGCACATACTAAAAATATGCAATGCTTTTTCATTTTAAGAAAACATTTTTGGGTGTGTTTTAGGTCATCTCCCTTATTCCTAAGTGTCAGGTGGAAGGCATTGTTGGAGGGCTGGAAACTGGAGGGTTTGAAAGTAAGTACAAACAATCTAGTTACATTTAAAATCAGGAACTTGAATAACTAATATATTATGTTTGAGTATGTGTATGAAACAGTCTGAAAAAAAATTACAGTTCATTTGAAGACTTTTGAGTTTGGATATAAACCTAATGTGTTTTAAATTTAGAGGAATGTTACGCTGGATTGAGCCCGCTAAATTTGATTTTTGAAACCAAACGATTTGATTGATTTTACATAAGATGTTTTTCATTTCAGACGAAATTATTCAAATATTGGATGTGCCACAGTCTCCGCTGATGCAAAGAGGTCTTGATCTTGTTAAGATGTATCTACCAGGTGAAAATCATTTGATATCTACCTGCTCCACATGTAACTTATGACAAGTTGACAAGTAACCAAACCATTTTTGTAATTGTCTTTGTTTCAGATTTATTATAGTGGGTATTTGAAAAATTCAATGCATATTTTACACAGCTACTCAGTTTATCTAAATGTTTGGTTAAAGATAAAAACACCAAATATGTATTTAATATTTTTAATGAAGGTTTTATATTTGGATATATTTGCAGAGGAAGGACAACTGACAGCATCAACATCTAGAGCCACAACAGCAGCGGGTCAGTTCACAGCAGGACCTCGGAACACAACAGAAGCATCTGCCTCAGCAACCCCATCAGTTAACCAGCAACTCCCTATTGAATCAAAAAGTGAAAAAGGTTCATATAATCATCTGTATAATAGTATCTCAAAATTGCCTTTTGATACATAATGAATGATGGCATTATAATAACTGCTACGGTTTCTTGTTCATAATAATGTAATTGAACTCAGAATGGCATCATTATCACATCATTAATATTTGTGTACACTAAATCATTTTTGAAAAAGGTTTGATTGTTTCATAACTTATGGATTGCAATTTTCAAGAATATTCCAAAAAGATCCAATTACACTTTTTGTCTACTTTGTCTAGTGTCCAGACAGAAGACAACGACTGGAAATGAAATCATACAAATTGAAAATAAGAAGCTTCAGGCCATGAGGGAATTTTTTGATGATGTGTCATCCAAATTAGACAACATTATTGATTTACAGAGGCGAAAATTGCAGTTGGAGGAGGAGAAGATCAAGATTCTTAAATCCACAGAGAACTTGTCTGCCAAAACCCCGTCACCTCGAAATATATTCAAATTGCTTGAACTATAATGTACCACCTAATAAAATTTAAATCAGTAAGTTATTGACATGATTTCAGGATTTACAAAATAATACAGAATTTTGTATTTGTCAAAAAATACATAGCTAAGAAAAACAACAGGATTAACAAATTTCACAAAAAATGGAGGTTTGCACTTTGTCTTTCTATACCCATCCTGATATTATCACACTTTGAAAATTTTAACTCTTTGTTGCTGATGTATAACTAACCCAGAGAGTCTGTTGCTGGAGTGATGCACTCCCTGATTCTGTGTACCTATGTTTTCACACTTTGAAATTAGTAAATCTTTGTTGCTGATGTATAACTAGCTAGAACATGCCAGTAACCAAGAGAGTCTGTTGCTTGAGTGGTTCACTCCCTGACTTTATGTACCTATGTTTCCACATTTTGAAATTGGTAAATCTGTGTTGCTGATGTATAACTAGCTCGAGCATGCCTGTAACCCATGAAGTTTGCTGCTGGAGTCGTGCACTCCCTGACTTTGTATACTAGTAACTATATTTTCTTACTTTGAAAATTTGTAACTCTTTGTTGCCAAAATGTAACAAGCCCTAACATGGAGTTGTGTACTCCCTGTCTTTGTATACCTATCTGAAATGAATAAAAATAAATTTAAAAAATTTAAAAAAAGGTATTGACATGAATGTATGCAAAGAAAAAATAAATTGCATCTTTTTAATTTTCTGAAAGGAAATTTACTCAGAACTGAAGCTCACACGTCTTAATGCCTTTGTATTCACTTTATGGATGCATTATTCATGTCCAATTGAGTAAAGTTCATTTTGTAATGATATTGATAAAAAATGTAGTTATTGCAAAATAAAGATATTGTTAAAGAAAAGCTTTGTCACAATTACCAGTAATCATTGGGATATAGTGAATGATGTTTGTTAGTGAACATTTTTGTCAGGTAGTATGTTAGAGATTTATGTAAATTTTTTACCACAGAGAAATTTGATCAGTGTTGATAATCTGGTGTGGTTTAAGAGTTGTCAACAGATGAATATTCTATGTTCATGTTGGGAAAAAGAGTTATGAATAAATAATTAAATTTCACTTCCTTTGTACTTTTGTATGTATTCGGTGCAAATGCTTTTGGACCTACCTATGAAAATCGTTTAGCAATCAGCTCTCTCCTTATTGAGACTCCATCTGCAAGATCCGTATCAACAGAGTAGTCTGTGGAGTTGTCTGTTTCAGACATTATCATGGGTGGATCTGGCAAATTATTGTCTTTGCAGAAATTGTGCAGTTTGAATGCTGCCATTATAACTGCATTGCACTTTTCAGGTGAGAATTGCAGGCACCCAGTGGACTTGTGAAGGCATCTGAATACAAATTAATTCTATTTGTCATAAAAACATTGAAATTGTATGGATATTTTATGGATTTTGTTTGTTTGTTATTCCAATACCTAACAGTACACTTATAACATAAATTTAAGTAACAAAAATACATACCGAAAACGTGATTTCAGTACACCAAATGCCCTTTCAATGGTGTTTCTTGTTTTGCAATGTGCAGAATTGTACTTGACTTCTGATTTTGATTCTGGATTAAGGAGTGGTGTCAAAATCCAAGGCCTGCATGGATAGCTTTAATAAAGGAAATTGATAAATTAAGTTCATGATACTAAGAAATTCATTAAGGTGGACGAAATTGTCAATTTACTTTGGTAAGTTTATTCATTTCTTATTCATGCTTTGACAAAAAGAGTGTTATACTAACTATAGTCTGTTTGCAGTGAAAACGTACTGATGAATTTAACTCTAAACGACAAGGTAAATCTAATAAAGTGAAATTAAGTTTGGGAATCCTCATAAAATTCCCTTGCCAATTGAACATTCAAATCTTAGAACTTATTCAACTCAGGATAAAAGTTGTTTATAAACGATCATAGTTTCAAATCGCTATTATTGGTTTGTATCACAAGGTGGTATGCACTTTAAATGAAACAACCAGAACAAGTAGGGTTGGTTTAAGTTAAGGCTCATCACGTACCGCACGTGCATTTGTTTCACTGTTCCACCTACTGCGCTTACTCCCGTGTAATAGTGACCATAGTCAACATATAAGCTTTTGGTAAGTATTTACACACTGATTTTCGTAAATAAAAATGGAGAAATTGAATAAGACTTACCCGGAATCACCCAAAAGCCAGCCATCAACATTTCCCAATTCCAGGTACTGTCCCAGTGAACTGTTGCTGAAAATCATGGAATCATGACAGGATCCTGGCCATCTGATGACAGTGTTGATAAATCTGTTTTAATTAAAAGAAAACAAGTTTCACAGGAGTTTGTAAATGTAATATTAGATATTACAGTTTGCAGAGATATAATCAAAAGTTATCAACGTATGCTATATAAATACATACATCAATGCGAGGCGATGAATTCGTACCCAAAACGAACTCATACCCACAAATTTGAGTGGATTCGTAACCAAATTGAAGAGTGATTTCGTGGGCACTTTCTAGTCAGGGAGTGTCAGCAAACTATTCTGAAAGTTATAAACTTTTATTCATTGTTTTCATTTTATATCGTACTTGAGACATTAAATTCATACATTTGATAATTTTGATAAATATTGCATATCACTTAGTCTATAGGTTATCAAATTCACAATAAAAAAATTATACATTGATAAGAAAAGGGACAATAAACCGAAGCTTATATAAACATTAATTATTATTTTCGTTTCAGTTGACTTTATTTTAACTTAAGGGACCACTAGTTTGAACAACTGCTTGAAAATAAAAAAGTATTTTGATATCTCTTTGAAATTATTTCAAAATCACCAGCTCCAATGTGCTTTGTCATCAATATTTAATAATTATCTGATGTGATTTTACACGTGTGTATGTGTGTTTTTTTATTTATCTATCTAAGGTATGTGCTTAAATTGGGATACATCTTAAATAAAAAGGAATAAAGAATTATTGTTTATTTAGGTACGAGTTCGTTTTGGGTACGAATTCGGAGTGGAGACGAGTACGTACTAGCAGGGATACTCTACAACATATATAGTCTCCCTGGTATATTAGGTACCAGTATTCACCTACAGCCGTTTTAGCTTTGACTCTATTATTCCCACTTATTCTTTGTATATATGAAACTTTATTCTTTCCCATATGTCTCATAATAACGAAACTGGTGTTTACAATTCTTTTATATCGTAACATTTCAGTATTATGTGATCAAATCGTGAACAACATTAACTCCCTTATTCTATATTTAGATACAAGGGAAGCTACTCTGAAATTAAGCTTACCTCAAGTTGGCGTCACATACGGCTTGAACATTTATGGCGTGGAAGCCTTTCCGACAAACGTAGGCCACTTCTTCGTCTGCAGGTGGTCGTTTAATGGGAATAAGTGTACCATCAATTGCCCCAATAACACAGGGGAATTCAGCTATTTTGTAGAAGTCTTGCATTCTAACTTTATTTGCGTCAGGATTGAACTTGATGTCCAGAACGTTGTTTATGGCACGGATTGTCCGATGGACGGAGCGAGACACAGAGGACTCGTGAACGCCATGTAGATCACCTATTTCCATTAAAAAACCGCCTTTACTCAGGTAACGAAGTGTAACCAGCAACTGAGTTTCAGGGGAAATGGCATGTGAACGCTTGGTTCCATGTTCGATGTGGCCGAACTTTCTCCAAAAGTGAGAATATGGCATGCCGAGGCAACCTATACCTTGAAATGAGTTCACCTTCCGTCAATAACTCCAATTGTGATGTTCTATCCCTAAAAATGCGTTTCATCTTTTCTGAGACTTCTTCGGCAGCCACGTACGACGCCATTTTTACCATCGATTGTAGACACTTACAATAGGTAGTGGGCTATTGTAGGTTTCAATTGTAACTTACAACTATTGTAGGCTTACGATCGCTTTGTGCAAGAGGCGGGTGACCCTACAATTACCTTACAATCAGAGTTACGACTATTGTAGAGATACAATCGTTTTGTGCAAGTGGGCCCAGGATAACAGTTTAACATTGACACGTATAACGGTTAAATCTTCTGTGTAGTGGTATAGCAGGAGAAGACTTGTCGCATATCAAGTGGAGCATACAACGTGCCTCCAACCTGGGACCCCCCATGTTCACGACTTGGATTTCACAAGCTTTATACCTGATATTTAATAGTTAATCAGGGCAGATCCCCTGCTGTGGCTAATGTAAGTGCACTATCCTGTTGATGTGGAATAAGATAGTGTTACACATAGAATGAGCAAAATAGTGTGGCCTATTCGGCTTTTCATAAGAACTGCAGAAACTCTATTTTCATTTGTTGACGCCGGCGGAACTACAATGGCAACAATATGGGAATTGGTCGGTTGTATAGAGCCTAGTGTGTAAACAGCCTATGATAAAGTGGGTCGAGTTTTCTGTTTTTGTTGTTGAACGAAGCACTCAGCGTTCTTTTGACAGAGTCTCCAAATAAAAGAGTGAGTGAGTTTAGTTTTACACCGCTTTTAGCAACATTCCAGCAATATCACGGCGGGGGACACCATAAATGGGCTTCACACATTGTACCCATGTGGGGAATCGAACCAGGGTCTTCGTAGTGACGAGCCAACGCTTTAACAACTAAGTTAACCCACCGTCCCGTAAATAATAGAGTCTTAAAATACAAATGTACCAGTTACAAGAGTGGCTGATATTATGACCATCGTGTGATACGCCATCGCCGTACGATGACGCGCAATCAATTACGTCACAATGCTTGACCATGGACCCATTTGGTAGCTGATACCAGCATAGGTTGATAGGGACGTATTCTAAACAGGAATCTCCATGGATAGGTTGGTTTGGACCTATATCTTACCCAGAAGGATGTAAAGGAAGTGATAGGATCTAACGTCCTTTCATGTGAAAAGGAATGTCATTTTTCTGTATATTCTGCTTCGGTTGTATACTTGATAAATATATAGGTTCAGAATTAGCTTTACGGGGAAGTTGGTGAAGTTTTAATGGCCAGATTGTCCCGTACAGCTCCACAATAAACACATCTTACAGAGATATTATGTATAGTAACAGTTTTCGCTGAAACATCACATGATAATTAAATCGACAGAAAAGGTTTGAACAAATCTACATTCAAGCTGCTATGCAAATGTGGTTCTGCATGACTGTTTTTTGTTGCTGCAAAAATTCGACACTGACTGACACATCGGGTAATTGTTTTTATGAATGAGAGGGGTATTGTCGTTTTGTCACTTGTATTTGAGCAGAAATTTAAAACGTCATTAATACGTTACTAGGTTGAAAATAGTCGCCAACTGCAAACTAGAGGTTATGTTATGATATGCGTCACCATCCAAAAACTAAATTTTGTTACTCGGTTGTAGCTACCATCCAACATGGATTCATACTTACTTTGGCCCGGCCGCTGATGAACTACTTCCATATACGGTGGGGGCGGTGGGGTAGGCTAGTGGTTAAAGCGTTCGCTCATCACGTCGATGACCCGGGTTTGATTCCCCACATGGGTACAATGTGTGAAGCCCATTTCTGGTGTCCTCCGCCGTGATATTACTGGAATATTGCTAAAAGTGGCGTAAAACCATACTCACTCCCTTACCATATACAGTGAGACCCCAGATACCCGGACACATCCGGATTAGTAGACCTTGTCACGTGACAAGACAGGTCGGACTTTCGCGCCTACAAACGGAAACCGCATATCCGTAATAAACAGTCACTTTTATAAAGTAAGAGATTGTTGTTGTTTTTATGAAAATTGTCCGGAAGGTGAGGTTTCCGGATATCTGGGGTCCGGGTAACCGGGGTCTCGCTGTACTGTTCACTTAACAAAACACAAGAACACTCGTGTACATATTAAACTAACACAATATATCGTCGTTCTTTTACTAATCTCACATCTCACGTTTACCAGCACGAATGCATTGTGTAAATGCCTGTCATGTTATTTGACAGTGAACATTTGTGTTTTTTATCGTCGTAAAATCAACACAAACGCAAGATATAATCTGCAAAAACTGGAGAGGTTTTACGTGACGAACACATGGAACACAGGAAGTCCCATGCAGTGAGCAAACAGTGTCGATAACTGAAGGCGTTTCTGAATGAGGCGCTATAAAAAACCCGATACCTACATTTAAATATACATAAATCATCCAGCGTTCGATACGTGATCCCCGTAAGGAATGTATGAGTGTGTGTGTATGATACAAGCCCGAGATTAGAGAATAACCATCAAGCTTCGAGGAATTACGGATTATCTTCCTGAGGTAACAAGCGGTATAAGTATCGAGCCTTTAACTTGGGACAAACCGTATTCATTCCCAGGGTCAGATAAACCGTAATTCCGTGTGTCCTGTGGGTTATTCTGAACATTATATGACATTAAAGAGAGAAAAGAAAGAAATTGTATGACATGACAACCTTATAGAAAAACGCCACTGAAGGCAGCCTATTGTTTCAGATAACGTGATGCAATGATACGTTTGTGACGTCATGGATATGGATATCATATGATTTGCTAGTTTTTTAACACCACACTAACCAGTTAATTGAGTTTTCCAGCTATATGAGGATGTCTGTAAATAACGAGTCTGGACCAGGCAATCCAGTGACTGGCATCATGAACATCAATCTACGCAATTGGAATGCGATGACATGCATCGACCACCGGATTCGTCGCGTTTACGACAAGCATGGGTTGCTGAAGTAGAATTCTAACTCGGATCTTCACGGGACTTATATCATATCATATTGCTAGAACACTGTGCCGTAGCATTGCGTCAGCTGACCAATCAACACTAAGGCTAGCTAAAATGCAAATATCGGATAGTTATTAAACGCTCTTTTATCAAGTATCTAATCAAAATGGTGGATTGCCCCAATTGTTGTGTATGTTCCAATCTGTTTGGAATAACGGTTCTGAATATCTGGAGTTGAACAGTACAAGAATATCACAAGTCATGTGACGTCATAGACAATAAAAAGTAGTACTGCTTCATAACTACTATCAATCTACTTATGGGTAACATTGAAGCGTGACTGACTTCAACACTTCATGTCTGTATACAGTAAAACACCTAAATTCCACACAAATATAAGTGGAACTTCCTGTGTTTAGACAACTGCCTTTGTGTGGACACTGACAAAAATCCGTTATTTGTTCACTGAGAATAAGTTTGTCAAAGGGTATAAGTACTACATGCAAACATTTCCCCTAAAACATCAGCACATGGGAATTTGATGTACGAAACTGTCCTAAGGATCACATCCTACTGTTCTGCTTACTTACACACAAATACCGTAACCGACATCGACATCGATGTCATGCATCAAACAGGCCAACGACCCTGAACGCCCAATCCCACATTACTAGCGGGTAAAGAAATACTAGGAAACTGAGAGTTATCTCCCTTCCGTTAGTATCGCTCGTTGCCGAGCTACCGATCTCAGCTAAACGACGCCATTGTTGTTACTCGTACATCTATCTCGGGGTTCTCAATAGTGTATCTACCTTTGGTTTTTGAAATCGCTTGAGAGTTTTGCAACATGCTGTCAAGTGGTAATGTTCAAGGTACAAATGTATCACCGTTTATATGATGATTTTCACCCTCTTCGTTGTTTATTTAGGAGATAAACATTATGTGTTGGCCAATTTCCGGGTGTTATTGAGTATTTGAAATTGAAGCACGGGAATTCATTTGGAACCGACGGCGATATTTGTTTATCACGAACAGAAAAGATCTCTTACAGTTTTACATTGATCAACGTACTTAAACGTTTATTCTAATGAAGTAAACTTGTTCCGTGTTCTTATAATACAATAATCTAATTTTAGAGGTTGTCCTAAAATGGTAAGTCCTCGCATTTGTAGTGAACATTATCTCTGCTCCGATTGAAGAACACGATACACTAGATTCCTCATTGCATCGTGTACTGATACAAATTCACACAAGTAAATGCAGATATAAGTACTTTTTCATACCTACTTGTAAATACATGTGACTTACGGTGTATTCTCAAATTCATGAATTCTCATCACTTCTCTCCTACACAGAGACCATGTTTCACCAGTCGCTCAACCCTGCTGCCACTCCTGTCCCACGTCGAGTAGGTGTGCTAGGGTTTTAGAAGCAGAAAGAGATTAAAACTATGCCTTTTTTGTCTGAGTCAAAGTGCCAAGTGTGTAAGTGTTCATGTTCAGTATCTTCTATCTCCCTGTATGAACAGAAGTTTCTGAAATTAAAAAATGCCTTTGGTCCTGCCCCTTACAATTCAACACTAATTTTCACACAGGACTTTCATCTTCTCTTCTCTTCTCAATATCAGTATTTGTTTTCACAAGTGTTCAGTGTCTCGGTGCTGATTTCCATATTAACATTCTATATGACCATTCATTCCTAACCCAGGCACAACTTACCCTACCTATCACACTAGTGACTATTTCTCTCTATTCACTTACCACCAGCGTCCTTGTGTGTTCCACCCTGAGCCCCTGTCCAACCTTCCCACCTCCTACATCTCTGTCCCCGACCCAGTCCCCGCCTCTGTTTCTGTCAACATCACCGG